AAGTAGTTATATCATGGACTGAAGAAATGGCTCAGTGGTTAAGAGAGTTTGCAGTATAATCATGAAGACCAGAGTGCAGATTCCAAATGCATCTAAAAGCTGGGAGTAGCCTTGAGCACACTTGTAAATCTAGCATCGAAGTGGTGAAGACAGCAGGACCATTGGCAATAGCCGACTGCCACCCTAGTTGAAAACCTAGCACATACTTCATATATACATGCACATGTACACTCAATACATACACAAAATTCAGTTGTATCACTGTCATATGCCCACATTATTTTTAACATATACATCTCCAGAAATTAGTATATAATTTGAGTTAGATTAAAAAATGTTTTATGTTGGTAAAACAGTTGACTTTAGGCTCTTGAAATATGAAAAGAGGTCTAAAATCAGGGTAATTCTGTTAGAATTGAGAGCTCTGAAAGCGGGGTCTGTAATCTGTTCCTTTGTCCTGCACTTGGCAAACGACTACTATTAGCAGAATTGATAGAGAACAAGAAGCTATCGATGCGGGATGGCCTCCTGTATATGTGTTGCTTTCATTGGCTGATGAATAAAGCTGTTTTGGCCAATGGCTTAGCAGAGTGAAGCCAGGTGGGAAATCTGAACAGGGATAAGAGAGAGCAGTCCTGCCATGTGACCATGGCATCACCTCATTTTCTACACGTCTCGTTTCCTTGGCAGCTGCCTGACGGCCGCTTGACTCCACCTTTTCCCCCCTCATCCACATAGAAACTAGAATTATAGGTGTGTAAACAAATCAGAGAGGGAGGATCCCAGGCATTGACCAGCTGTGGAAGGCTGGGACAGATGCATGGAACAGGTTAGCTCAAGTTACTAAGAATGAAGAATTCTTGAATTGTACTTTTGGAAATTCTAGGTGTATACTAAATAAAAGTTATTCAAATATATTTCCACCCTGGGCAATGATCTGATGGGAAAATATAATAGTTCTCTCAAAAGAGTCTCTGGACTTAAACATTACAAGTCTCCTCAATCCAGGGGGTTCAGAGTAGGCTGACAACACCTGATTGGAACGGTCAGAGGCTGTCTAGCTTCACAGCACTACTCAGGAAGGCGGAAGACCTTATTCAACGCTAACAGAGCTGAAAGACGTACCTCAGGAGAAATGCCTGACTTTTGAGCAGGACATACATACAATTCAGTCCTAGTTTCTTTTTTTTCCACTTTGTTAATTATTTTTACTTTATTATAGCAATTGTATAATTAGGACAAATGTACAGGCACTATTTAAAAATATACATATACAATTAGCAGGCATTTAAAGTCTGTTTCTTAATGACTCCTTGAGGTATGTTGTTTACTAGCTGAGATTCTTGGTCAAGTACAAATTCAACTGTATCTGTCTTTGTTACTTTTCATTCTTTTTTCTTACCTATTTTTTCTTTACTGTTTACCTTTTCATTAGATACACCACACAGAGAAATAAATGTAATATTTAAGTAACTAATAAATAAATAAATGTAAAGTTTAAGTAACTAATCCGATATGCACTTGCAAGTGTAAACCTGAGAAACAGCATCAGCTGAAGACCCCAGGCACCCTCTGTGATCATATGTCTCTTCTTTCTGGAAGTCATTAGTGTAGAAATTGGTCTTTTCATTCCCTTCTTTTTAAATTTACATCTGTGTGGGTATATCTCGATTGCTTCATGTGTCTTAACTTCTTCAGGAAACCCAACCGAGGCTCCTTCCTCAGACTCCTGACACTTGTCCATGATGCTGGGTAGTTGTGTTCCATTTTTGTGCACTACACAGAATCCACTACTTAAGGATATCACACACTAACCCATTTTTCATGTTTTCTTCCTGCTAATTCTGTCTTCTCACATTCATGAATTATGTAGAATATAATGAAATCTTATAATTTTTCGAAACATTAGAAAGAGCTTAAGAAGAATCATTTTCTGGAGTGGCTGATGTTCTCAAGTGTTCACTGTAACATCTGCTCCAGCCGGTTACATGATCTTATAATTTAAATACACACACACTACTGAGACAGGAATGCAAAGGCTGTTCATAGTTTGATTAGATTACTTTAAAAGAAGACACAACGAAGGCAAGTACATAAGTCCATTGTTGAATGTATGGAAATGATAATTCTTTCAGTTCTCACATTTATTTATTTACATGTATTCAAAAATTCTCAGCATGCTTTGAGGAAATAAAAACAATTCATCTGAGGTGATAAAATAAAGGCTTCTAGGAGCTGCTAAAATAAAAAGTTCTATCCTTACATCAGGAGATTGGCTAGCAGGGTATGGTGATATACACCTTCAAACACAACACTACAGGCTGAGGGAGCCTGGGCAATATATAAGTACCTGGTGAAATTATGCCTTAAAACCCACCACTATCACAACAACAACAACAACAAACCAACAAACCAACAAAAAAACTGACTTTGAAATGTTCATTTATATTTCTTAAAATAAAAATTGTAAATGTTTCATGATTCATCTTTATAATTTTTATTTGTTATCTACCAAGATCAGCAGTTCTTAACTTGTGGGTCGTGATCTGTTTGGGGTCGCGTATCAACAGCCCTATTTTATAACACTTCAAGGGGGAACTCTCGCACATGTCCCCAGTCAGCAGCCCAAGCCTTGCAGAGAGAAGCGCTGGTTTGGGGCCTAATGACGTGATGGCAGACACCACGTTCTGACGCTCAAACAAGCTCTACCACTGCTTTAAGGGAACTTCAAACTTTTTTGTGATTCCTTCAAAACAAAACAAAACAAAACACACAAAAATTACTTTGGTAATTTTTCTTTCCAAACAAGTGATTAGATTAAGGAAAAATAACCAAATCTCACAGATTGGCTTTGAATGTCTTGATCACTGAATGACTGCCACCTGCAGCACACAAAACAGAAAACAAAACACAAAGCAAAATACTCAAGGAGTACCCAAAGACATACATTATAAAGAAAATAAAAAAATTCATAAGATAACATGGTTATTATTGATTTGTTAAGAATATCTTAAAATATTTCGAGTACCAGCATAAGGCTTTTTATTAAGGCAGATGATTAGGTGATACTTTCCTACAGCTGAAGAATGCCATTGTATTTTTAACAAAAAGTAAAGTATTATTTTAAGATCATGATTAAAAAACACATATAATAATGAAAATGGATAGAACAACCAAACACACATTAGGTAACTAGAGACTGCATCAAAATGGATACACCAAGCACATATTCCATTATGTAAATGAATTCAAGGATATTTCATGACTGATCAGCTAGAAGGGACATAATGATTTATAATTCAAATAACTGAGCACTGAAATCAAATTGAACTAATATATATTTCTAAATATGCAAACTTGAAATAATTGTTAAAAAATATAAATCAATGTACCTGCATGGAAATAATTCATATCTGTTAGAACCTTTAACCTTTATCTAATAATTTTTTTTAAAGGAAGACTTTTTAAAATTAATTTTAAGAGGTATTCAAAAGGAATAAACAGCTCAGAAAATAAAAGGTTATAATAGCTATACTTAGATAACAGAAAGAGTATCTTAATAGATACCAATAAATTAGGCATTATGCAAATTATACCAAAATACAAATCAAATTAATTTTATATTAAATATCAATTTCAAACTAAAACCAGAGCGAATCTAAACAATAGGTCTGTGTCCCAGAATCCCAGGCCTTCCCACAGATAACACGCTTTCACAGTAATTCACTGTGAAAAGCTGGAGAGGTTGCAATACTATGAAGTACTTATCAACCACTTCATATGTTAGAAATAGAGTATTTCAGCACCATTATTAGAAAAAAATACAGGTTGAGTTTTTTTAATAAGAAAAAATACATATCTTAAAAAGCCAAAATGACCACTGGAATTGGGTTGTACATCACTTTTCAGTAAAGAGGAAAAACAGCCTGGACAGGTGTAATTTATCATTTTTCTGATTTAATATCAAAGAAATATATTAAAATAATAAAAAGAATCCTGAAATCCTCAAAATTTGTAGTGATAAATAGCCCTCCCTGTCTTTATTGCATTATACCTACTAACAGAAATATTGCATGGTGGATTTTGCCAGACAAGGACGATTATTTTCCAATAAAAAGTTGCATATTAAATTCCAGCACAAAAGTGGGTGTCTAATACTTTGGAAATCTTTTATGGTTTACAGAGGAACACAATCTTAAACTTAACTAATACAAGCATATTCCTGGAATGAAACTCCACTAAAGGATTCCATCCAAAGCCAACGATTTCAGAAATGTCCTTATATTACGATATCTTCTAATGTCACAGGTTAACTAAACCAATGGTTATTTAATTTTATAACATCTATGTATCTTACAGGTAACAACATAAGCAACCATCTACAATCCATTTCTAATAGGTAAAATATCACACATACACACATCTAATAAGGATGATTTCTGGCTTCATATTTTAAAGGATTTCTAGAGACAAATGTGTAAACATTTAATGTGTAACAGGAACTCTTGAGTAGGTGTGACAATGATCTGGTGAGGAGGCCGACAAGCAAAGATGTGGTCAAAAAGCCAATGAGTCTCTTTCTATCTCGATTCACACAAGCCCTACTGTCTGATGCACATGAGACTCTTACTGAGGGATCCAGGGACACTTCACCTTCTTCAAGCTGGTTTCATGCTTTCTTTCAGAATCAGAATTTATGAAAATTGTGAACAACTATGGGCTGAAATACACAAGTGCTGCATACTTTACTGTGCAAGCATTTGTTAGCCTAGATTAATATAAACAAACCTGGCCAGTTAGGAATATATGTATGTTCATATAAGATCACTTATGATTGAAAAATGCTTCATAGTACAGTTATTATAAACACATTTATAGATAAGGCTAAACAGATTAGACTTTTTATTGTAAATTTCTGGAAAATTAGAATTAGGGAAAATGCTTGGCCATGTAAATGCACCTGCTGAGTTAGTACATCACATATATAATGAAAAGGATATCCAACTGAAAGGTCATTTAGGAACTGAAGAGTCCTTGAAATTACAGGCTCACATCTTCCCCAGTACTTAAGGTTTGTAACACTAAATATGAAAAAAATGTATTGAATTGTTAAACAGCTGCCTGCATAAGGAGAACCACAGAAACATAAATATTTTATGAAGTTAGGTGACTTCAATCACAAAATAAAAAGCATGTTTGAATTTCAACAACTTTTTAAATTCTTATAGCACATTTAAACTTTATATGATCAACCTACAGTGAACACTGGCATAGAATTCTTTAAGTTTTAAAATAGTTCTGTAACTAATTCTCTAAGATAGTCATTCTATAAGTAAGTGTTTCACAGAAAAAACATTAAATTTAGAATAAGGTCAAACAGAATGAAAATGGAATTATCATCACAAAGGAAGTCAAGTGAAGGTGAACCAGTTACTGCCCCAAATGAAGCATTATCTGGTGGCTCCAAAACTGACTTATGGTCCTGGTGTTGACCCAGCTTCGTCCTGCAAGCACAGCAGGGTTGTCTGTGAGACACAGCATGCAAGTGAAAGCACACCAGTGTCGGCTCAACAGGCCACCATGCGTCTGTGAGGACAAGCCATGCAGCTCCATAGACACATCTCTGCTGGAGCCAATGGATGCTCTGTTTTAAGGTGATTATGACGATAGCTTGCAATAAGCATTTCATTGGTCTTTGAGGTAGGGTGTTTTGTTTTTAATTATAAAGTAAAAAACAATTCTTCTCAAGTAAACTGTGGAATCAGTATCTGGAAATCTTTTTAGGTCAGTGTGTTCTGATATTGTACACTATAACCATGTGAACTTCCTGACAATGATAATGCCCTTTAGATGGTGAGTTAAGTAAACATTTGAAGTAAGCAGAATGCACACACAAAAATTTAACGCCAAAATTTTAAGTTAAAAATTAGTATCTAAAAAAGGATTCATATATAGTAAGATGATATGTGACTCAAAACCACAGAATACAATTAAAAACCAAAACAGATACTCACATTTTTGTCATGAATGTTTCTAGAACATGGTTGTCATCTGTTATTCCTAAGACTTCTGACATACGGGCATACACCTGCATCAACAATAAAGTGTTATAAGCTTTATCATCCATAGGCAGTTTCAAAAGACTGCTAAAGCTAACAAGTCTAAGAGTAAAAGATGTCCTGCATCCACACTGTAAACAGGGAGTGAAATGAAAACATCGCCATTCTAGCCTGCAGTCAGTTTCCCCCAGGAAGCACTCCTCCTTTGGGATGTCTGTATACCGACACACAAACAGACCCACACTCATTCTCTGCCTAGCACACTACGTATTTTGTCCTCAAAGCTGGGAGCCACCATTTTCTTAAAGGTGGGAATAGGCATGCAAAAGACTTGAAAATATTGTTCAACAAAGAATCTAAGTAAATACCTTATACTTATTCTAATTTCAGTAAAGTACCAATAAAATTCAAGATAGTTCAAGGAGATTATAAAAGTATTTTTAGAAAACCATGAGATCGTATATCAGCTATAGACACCCCTTGTAACACTCTAGCTTAGAGAGACACAGAGACAGGTTCTACTGTTGATGGAGGGGCTGATCATCAGCACACAAGAATCCAGAGCTTCTAAGTGGGCAGAGCTGGTTGCAGAGTTTGGAGTACGACAGTTCTGTCTTAAACTCAGGCACACCATGCATTTGAACACACAACTATATTTCACGTGAGGAAATACCACCATCACCAATGGGACATCCCTGGTAGCCTGGCAAAGCTGAGAGTAGTTAACACCTCTACACCCTCTATGCTCTAGTGGGATTCCAGGTTGTCCCTGCCAGACACCAGCTGCATGGGATCTCTTTTCTGTCATCTTATCCCCAGTGATTATGTGGTCTCACCTTCTGTAGTTTGCTTATTTACCAAATATGACAACCTAGCTTTATTTACACATTAGCTTATATATTGTCACAGGTCACAAACAGGACAATAAATCACTCAGAGTTAAAGGGTCACACCAGAGGAGTTCAGAGGTGTTTAAAGGCACAGGACTACATTCAGCTTTCCACTGCCTCTTCTGGTGACTCCAGGCCCTCCAGGCCAGTGTTCCGATGATTCCGCAATGGCTGCTGTGCTTACTGTAGGGTCCTAAGACACTTGTGGTGGAAGGATCGAGAACCCGAGCACCTTAGTTATCACAATTATCTCAATCAGAAGCCTATAGCTACAAAAAAGGCTCAAAGGAAGACTGGTATGTAGAAAAGGAACTTCCCTTTAATTTACCATGACCCATGGCCAGGAAGACTCAAATCAGTCCTCTTGGAATATCTGACATAAATGATTTTGGTGTTCAAATTGTTCCTACCTTGGCCCCCAGCACACCCATTTCTCTCAACCAGAAGCACTGAGTAATCCATAGGATTTCTCTGACTAAGCATTAGCCCTTTCCTCCTCCTATCATTCAAAAGCCATCTTTCCCAAGGCCTTATTAGCCCTCCCAGGCAGGGTGAGCTGCCTTTTCCTGTATTCCCCACCCCCCCTCATATCTGCTCTGTTCTTGTATCTATGGTCCTTTCACATTGTGAAGTTTAGTCATCCAACTCTCCCATTTTGCTGAAAAATTCTTAAGGGCTGATATTTTGCCTTATACCTTATTTTTTGTCTCAGCAACTTAGACTAGTGTACTTAATATGTAATAGAAAAAGCAGTGGGTGAACCTATGAAGACTGGATTACAGTGTGAATAATCAAACAATGAAATTTGCCTTCCCCCTTTAAGGATATATTGAATTCGGTGGGCAAACATGAAAAGAAAGAGAAAAGTATTATAGAGTTGCTTGGACTGTTATTTTAATCCGTGATTACCTAGTGAGATCCTGTATGTAAGACTAATTTTATGAAAGCAGACAACAGTGGGGACCTGGTTCCCTACTGTCTGCTCTCTCCCCGAATTGCTCTTGCAGGGGCACACACTGTGTTCTCCACCCTGACTAGGATTTTAAAGGCACTGGTGATTACCAAGGATGAAAACATGAGAGCTCTACTCCAGGCCAAAGCACTGGTTTTTCCCTCATGAGTTCACAACCAGCTTCAAAGAAAGAAACCGTGCCATAAATGCAGTGGACACTGCTGGCAGACGGCGCTGAGGGACGTGTGGGTTTTGGAAGGGCTATGGCAGGATCTCAAGCAGCCCATTCTTGTGTACTTTTATCAGATCCTCCTCCTTTCTGTTAACTCCTAGTTAACTTTCTTGTTTTGGATCATAGGATGACTACTCTGTAGTTTCATAAAAGTAATATTTACATTCCAAGGCTTTATGGACACTACTTGTTGGCAAATCCGAGAAATACCGTTGATTTTCACTATGCCACGGGGAGAACACAATAACTAAAGTGCATCTCTGAAACGAGGTTCCCACCAGGGCTTTTCCTGCTGTGCGCGTTTGCTAGGCAGGCAGGTCTGTTGTGCTTTGCTGTCAAACAGTTTCTCAAAGCATCCGATCTGGAGCAATAACACGCAAGAGCAAACAGTCAACACTGGCACAGGCAGTGCTTTAACCCACAATCCTTGTAACGCGCACCATTCCTTTTAGCATCCATTAGCTTTGATCCCCATTATCCCATCTAAAGCTGTGTCAACGTTTCTGTCCTCGGGGACTTCTCTCCACTACCGGGATCTGACAGTCAAGCTTGAGTACTAAGCGGGATCATTACCTCTTAAATCCACTTATCTGATCTACTGAATAGTAAATTGAAAAGCTCATTAAGAGCAACAATCTGATTTGTTTTCACGTGTGACAGGGTCATTTAAAATCAATGTATGATTACAGCATTACTCTTAAAGGACTGTCTCACATTTTTCAAGGTCTTGTGCCATTTGAAGAACATGAAGATAATATGAAAACATCCTCTAACATTTAGAATTTAATAATGTGATAGATACAGACTATTTATGAGGTAAGAGATAACTTGCCCACTGAAGAATATCTATGAAGTTATTTATCATAAAGCACAAGTTAATAAAAGATTTCTACTGAAAACAATTCAAACATAATATTTTAGAGTTCTGAACACTTTGTGCAACTTTTATCAATTCAAAATAATTTTTTTTTTGAGACAGGGTTTTTCTGTAGCTTTGGAGCCTGTCCTGAACTAGCTCTTGTAGACCAGGCTGGCCTCGAATTTAGAGAGATCCACTTGCCTCTGTCTTCCGAGTGCTGGGATTAAAGGCACATGCTATCACTGCCCAGCCAATTCAAAATAACTTTAAAAATTAATTTTACCAAAAAATTTTATTATAGGAAGAAACCACATCATACAATTCTTTTTTCAGGAAGAATGGTGTTGGAAGGAAAGTCTGCCTTCATCACACCTCTGATTTCAGAAGCTAGTAAGATAATTTGCTTCTATCGAGACACATGTAAATACCAAAGAAAAAGAGATTAAGGTCAGACAAAGTAGTGCATGTCTCTAATCCTAGCTGTCAAGAAACAGAAGCCAAGATTTTGAATTGGTGGCTAACTTGGGTTACATAGAAAGACTACCACCGCCAAAGGAGAGAGACCCAGTTACCAATTGCTCTTCCAAGGTTGGGTAACACAATGACAATGAACACACGGCCATGCCTTTGGTTTTGTGCTTTATTCCATCAGGGGTATAAAAATCCATTTTTGCCTGCTTCAGCCGTCCTTTGTTTTCAGCCTTCAGCACACCTGAGAGCAGAACTAACACTATCTTTTATGTTCACTGTGCTCACTTTACTAATGATTTTTAATGATCAAATGTATAGTTTTGTCAATTCTACTTCAAAAATTTTTTTTTTTGGAAACAGGATCTTGTATTTAAAACCTCATTCCCTAAGCATGGGAACTGGCAAATTTTTGCTGTTTAAAACAGAATGGTTAGGGTTCCCTGCCCTGTGGAAAGTCCAAGGTCCTCCCCCCTCCGTCCATGTCTAGGAAGGTGAACGTCCAAACTGGCTAGGCTCCCACCAAGCCAGAACATAAAGTAGGATCAAAACCCCGTGCCATTGTCCTTGGCTTCTCATCAGCCCTCATTG